TCTGCTAACACGAGGTCGCTGGTTAGGTCACCAGCTCCACCAGTCTGCTCTCAAAGTGCAGAGCAAGATACTGAACCCCAAGTTGCCATCTAATACCATGATCATTAAAAAAAAAGTCTAAAGGCATAAATGATGATGTTTATGGATTTAGCTTGTACTGTAAAATTGAGTGTTGAGAGGAAGAAATAAGTCTTTTTATTTAAATGCTAAAGTTACTGTTACTTACCTATTAACCTCCACCCCTCATTTGTTTTGGACTTAACATGGATTTTTGTGCCATATTAATTTATTTCTTAATAATATTTTGCCTTGAAAAACAGACAAAACAAAAACATTAAAAGCATTACACTCATCAGCTGTTCAGTAATGTGCTTTACGTGACATTAATACCAATAAGATAATAAGATTTGTAAAATATGCAATATGCATAATCCTACTGATATTATTATCTTAATACATGTTGTTATGTTTTTTTATGAGCTTCCTGTTAACCTTAATCAGATATTGGTAGCTGTCATATCATCAGGATATGATAACGGACGTACGGCAAATGTGGTTTGTCACTAAACTTCAGCAGTTAAAACTGATTTCTAAAGTTCGAAATCTCATAGATTCTGGTCTGGATGTTCTCACACGTAAACACTTGACAGTGGTCGGGCGAGTCAGGTCAAGATTTTTGGCCTCATTCTCCAATTTCAGCATTTATCAATATTTTCTAACCTTAACTCCCATGATTACAAGTTTTCCAAGCCAATGTACAGAACAATAAGGAATTAAATGTACAGCTTTAAACAAAACATTTTTATAGACCTATTCTGGTAGGCAGCTCTTTCGCTGAGGTGTGATCATACTTTGGTTTTCAGTGCTTAGTAAATACAACAAAATTCATTAAAGACTTAGATTTTTGTTGGATGTCCTCACTTACAATGTCACCTTTGGCTATAACCCATTTATGGATGGGTTTTTTTTTAATCATCCTCCACCTGCTTCTTCCTTTTGCTCTCTTTCTGGCATCAGCTTCTTTGTTACCTTAGCCAAAGTGCAAAAGAGAGAGTAATTGTCTTCATATTGTACACTAGAAGAATCAAGATTCTTGTTTTTCTATACTGTGTATGTCTGTATGGATAGATATACCTGCTTGTATTTTTTTGGGTAGTGTAAGAGGTTATAGAAACACTGTAGGATTACTGATCTACTGGACGGGTGGATATATTTCAGTGTATAATGTTGAAAATAAACAAACTGAACTCTTTTGCTTTATGAAGGTGAACCTAATACAACATGTATATATAATGCACAGTTCACCTTATTTATTGCATCCTCTTTTTATGGTCACAGACAGGCTGAATTTTGAACCTTGTGTTTAATTGCAGTCATCATATTGTTACACATCTTTTAATACATATTTATGGAGGCAGGAGGTCTGTCCGCACTTAAAACCATTTTAACTTTCAATCAGTTTACAAGTGGTTTAGTATTATAGTTCGGCAAGATTTCTTTATCCTCTGTGCCACACCTGGAAACACTCCTGTTCCGACTATCAATTACAGAGAAGACATAAAGGATCCGGGGGAAAGAATTTTTATAATATAGGTTAACTGTGATCTCTGAGTGGTGGAGGGCGGCCGTGTGATGGAGATTAGAGCAGATTTAGATCACGGCCTGCAGAGTTGATGGAGCCAGGTACAGCAGGTTAAGAGCAGTCAGCTGATTGCCTCGGGAAAGACACAGACAAACAGCAGGTTTGTCTGTGTGTGTGTGTGTCAGTTTTGAATGCCATGGCAACTCAGGGGGAAAAAAAACAAGCTTTTTGAGTTTGCAACGCCTACATCCGACCAGAAGACAGAAATAGTAACTTATTATAAACCATTTATAGTCTTTCTGCCAACTTCAAAATAAAGCCCTCAGGAAGAGAGCTGCACACTTGACTCCAGAAAAATCATATGCAGTAGGCGTGTACTGATGGCAAGATGGTGTCTTTGCATATGTTTGTGCTTTTTAATTCCTGTTAGCTTTCAGAAATGGAAAATGTATTTTAGCTTTAATTTGTATAAACTAGTGAACTAAGCTTTTTTTCTGTAGCCACAACATCTGACATGCAGGCAGTCGTGTGTGTAAGTGTGTACGTGTTGCTACTAATAAACATAAAATGCATTCAGTGAGCCAGAGGAGCCGAGCTAATGTTGATAAATAATCAAATAGTCAAGTCACCTTCAATCCAAAACAGTCGCTGAATGACACAAAGTGCAGAACAGGAGAAACACAATCGCAAAATCTTGACAGGGGTACTGACACAGGTGAGGCCCACACACAGTAGAAGAAAAGCCAGAATGGATGTTTCCTGAACTTGCATTTCTTTGAATAGCCAGCAGGGTAGCTGGTTTTAAACAACAGGATGTGATGGTACGGTGGCTACGAGCGTCTTTTACATCCAGTCTACAAGGGAATGGTTTTTGAGAGCTGTGAAAAATGGGCAAACACATACAGAGATACCTGGATTTGTCGGCAAGATAGGCAGATCTGATTGCAGCACAGCTGATGCACATACATGTTGATCACACCACCTGTAGATTTCTCTACAGGCGACAGGAGACAGGTGGGGAGATGTCTCCTTTTAGAATAAATGCTCCCTGACAGCTTAAACCTCTGTTGCATTCATTACACAGCCCAGCAAAGTGCGAGGGCTCGTCTCACTCGCAGATCTGTGTTTGCAAGCCTCTGAAGCATTGCCAGACAGGCGCGTCTCGCCGCATACTCTGAGACAATCAATCACAGGCCCTCGAGCTCCTGCAAGGCTGCCACCTGTCCCACTTAGAGGGCACACAAAGTACAGCACACGTAGCCTCAGATGAGTGAACAAACTGCAGCTGGCTCTGCAGGAATCCTAATTAAAAGCTTTGCTGAATAAGTTATGAAGAAGTGGGTTTGCATCGAGTTAAACTGCCATGACTGCAGTGTCATCAAATGACTGAGACACGTGATGCTCAGTGTCGACAGTATAATTACGCAGCAATAAGGAAGTAATAACCTGTTCAGTTTAACTGGGCTCGTAAAACGAAGCCTTCTCGAAGGAGCCTGCTGCGAGTGTCAAGTTCAAATCTGTGCTGGGAAAGGAGAAGTTTGGCCCGTAAACAAATCAGGTTTATAAGTCAAGGTGGCGTTGCATCAAATTATTCTGCCAGGAAGTAAATAAATGCATGTTGGTAGAATTTGAGGTATTTCAGTTGTAGAAAGTGAATACAAGAAGCTCAATGCTGATTTCAAACAAAAACGCTTGAGTGAGATGCTGAATGTGATGAGGTGTTATTGGTGTGTCTGTTAGCATTAGGAGTATTTCCAAGCAAATAACCAAGGGATTGGTATTCTTTTTTTCTTTTTTTTTTAGTTTATTTTTACCAAAGATAGGAAGTTACTCCAATTTAGAAGAGATTAATTTGTGTAGATGCTCCTGATCCAAATCCGGGAACTTTTGGAAAGATTCTTTATATTTATTGCAGGATATTGTGGGGCATAATTGGACATTTCACATCATATCTTCACAAAAACATCAAGTTAGGAGACAGGAACTGAGCTCTTTGATAATGGTCATACATGTATGTTTCACTCAACATGAAACATACATGTATGACCATGTGGATTTACAGCAAAGGACTTTATATTTTAACTAAGAGTTTAAATATTCGTAAGTACAGATGTTTAAAAAGAACAGCAGGTGATCACACCCCTTTTTCTGCACGTCTTTTAGCTGAAGATCTCCTTCAACGAGTCCAGCCTGCAGAGCACCTACGAGTATCCATCAGAAAGCAGCGTGTGGGACAGCGGGGAGGAGGAAGAGGAGGACAAACAAGATGAGAAGTTGGCAGACGAACAGCCGAGCATGGTGGGACGGATCCACATCCCTCGAGCCAGTTTGACCGGCTCGCCCTCCCACACCACCAACAGCAACGGTGAGATTTTGTGAAACAAAGAAGGGCTGGTTGTCAAATCTCCTTCATATACTCATGGTCCTCAGAGGATGACGATGATGATTATTATTATTTTATTTATCGTCATCACAATGTACCCTAAAATCCACTGGCTCAGATTGTACTTAATGGCACAGCTTGCAAGATAAGTGCATTTGCAGTCGCGCTTATCTTGTAAGTTTTTTGTTTGCAAGGACGAACTTTTTCAGTTTTAGTTTTAGTTTTAAATTCTCACCTCAGACGTTAGAGGGTTACCTAGGCAACCAGTGCCTGGAGAGTTTGCAAGCAACCAGCCATGTAAATCAAACTTATCAAAGCGAATCACCTTTTATGATTGATCCAGTATTTTTAGTAGTCTGAGAAATTGACTACCTTTAAAAAACACACCCCTACTTTGTCTTCACTCTTGAGCTGCATTTACTGAACTTTTCCTGTGAGCTGCCCCCAAATTAACTTAAAACCTTTACAGCAGTTTGCTTATCATGACAAGTTATATCACTTAAAAATCTCAGGCTAGCCTGTCTGCATGAGCATGTTTGGTCAGTTTTCATCTTTAAGGCTTTATGCTTTCAGTGCGAGTATATTTGTAATATGTGTAGCCTCATAATAATTTTAGAATGAGTTAAAAATCATGTTAATTGTTGCCAACATAGCTATGCTTTTAGGTTTATTCAAAATTAATTTAGGCAAAAACCTACCAGACAGCGCACGTGCCACATTCTGATGCAAATTAGATAAAGCAGATGTTAACAGAATTAAAGGTTTAGCACTAAAAAACACTGCATGTGGAGAAGAGATTAAAATGGTGAAGTGTATTCGCATCCTAAATGAACTGAGGCTAGGCTAGTGGTATTTTTATCTTTTTTTATTTTTATTTTTTTGTAAACGGGGCTGGTGTTGTTCTTCTTTTTTTATTATGTTTTCTGCACTTTCCCACAATGGCAAAGTAAGAAGTTCAGAGAGACTGGAAACTCGTCAGGTGTTTTTTTTGTTTGTTTGTTTGTTTGTTTGGTATTTACATATCTGGGTAAAATGGCACTGAAAGATCAGACTGCTAATCTGACTACTTACCTACATGCATAGATCCAGTTTTATAAAGCTTTTAGCATTCTGCAAGTTCATATTAATAAAACAGCAGATTTCAAAACTGAAGAATTTGTGAGCGCTTCCAGAGATTAAAGAGAGCTGCCGATGTGCAGAAGGAAGGGGAAGATGCTGTGTAAAGTGCAAAGCTAGTCCAATCAGGTCATTACGGCTTTGTTTTGCCATCATCATCCTCCTCATTTGTATGAAGGTAAAGTGAGTATGTAAGCCACAATAGGTGTGGTGGCAGAGCCCCCTACTGGCTGTCCTGTTTACTACACCCGAGAGCAGCTGACTCACTCAGATATAATAAGCCCTTCAGCTAACAAGTGGATCCTGTAATAGCAGCATTTTTGGCCTTTTTAGGTAAAAAAGAAAAAAAATTAAACCGATGATTTTTGTATGTTTGTTAAACGTGATGACTATCGTGTCTGCTCTGGGTTACATAATGAACTATATTGTGCTTTGCCACTGGAAAATCAATAAGGAAGCTCATAATTGTAGCTCTAAATCACCAGATTATGTTACGCCCCTCTTCAACCTCTACTGAGGCTGTGCAAAAGTCTTTGGCGTTGCTTAGTAATTAAAATAAAACCAATGTTTCTAAGAACTCTGCTGTCACAGTCTCCACTGTGGTGCAGCAGGGCTGAAGCAACCTATTGTGTGAAACGACTTCATCCTCCAAGAAACAGTGGCCACTGTAGTGATTTAACAACAGTGTATTCACATACTGTATCTCATAAAGCACCGTCATTAAAAGCAGCTCACATTCTTTATACCAAAAACACACTTGAAAACCTAAATGTTGGAATGACTTGGATAAAAATAAAAATGCAGGGGGGAAAGTTACACAGTTAATATCTAATGTGTTTTAGTCTTATTTATTTATTTATTTATTTATTTATTTTTGTCTGTAGATCTGTCCAGCTACATTCCCAAGCACTCGGTAGACTTCAGCGCCTGGCAGGAGCACAAACACGATGACGGCATTAACCAGGAGGATGCCGCCTCCCAGCAGACACAGATAACTGAGGAGGTCATGGTGAGGGAAACGCCTTCAGCTGCCATACTTAAAGTTGGGTTTCAGACTCCACAGGAGGAGATGTGACCCCCTGTTTTTCACCTCCATCTATCAACTCAAAGTATTTGATTTACAAATATATGAAACAGAGAAAAGCAGCATATTTTACATCCATGAAAGTTGGTATGTTGCCATTTTATGATTTAATGGATTTTGGTTAAAATTATAGATGGATTATTGATTATAGATGGCACATTAAGGTACTGGGTCCTAAACTGAAACTTGTGATACTTCAGCAATTCAGACTGTTATACTCGGCATCATTTTATAGAGTTGTAGGTGATAAATTTAATGTGATGATAAGGAAAGGTTCAGGCTTCAGAATGCATTGAACAAACAGTTTCAGACAGTGTTTTTCTTTTCCTATTATCCATGAATCTTCATTCAGAGGCATAGAGACTGGTTGGCAATTGGATGCTGGCAGCAACTTCATTCTAGTGATTGCAGCAACCTCCAGCGACCACATGTCAACCAGTTGGGGAATAGATCTGTTCATCTTGCAACCAAACTCATCTCTTGAGCCTAATATAGTCATTTTAGGCACTGAGACCCCGCCCACCTGCTGTTCCAGCCTTATGTCTGTAAAGGGGCAGCCAATCAGAAGAAAGGTGACTTAAAAGTAGAGGACAGAAGGTGAACTGAGGGCTGCACCAAAACTCAAATAGTAGTTTGATTCTTTCTAGTTTCTTTCTATTATTGTAGGGTATCTTAGATTACTTAACTTTATCTAATTCAAAGTATTTCTTTCTCTTTTCTCCTCAGCTCACGCCGGCGGACAGCTCCTCCCTCACCGACTACAGCAGCGAGCCCGCTCTTTACTTCTGATCTGCCTGACCAATCAGCTGTACAGTAGCATCGCAGCATCTCACCTGTGGGACCAGACTGCCTCCACCTCGACACTCCAGCCGACTATAAGCACATCTTCCTGACCAGACAGGAAACATGGGTGTTTTATTTTTGTTTTTCTGGCTGATTTCCTGCCACGGCACCGCCACACGCCACATTTCCAGCTGCGCATTGGAGCTGCCGGGTGGCTGGCGTGGTGTTCAATGCCCACCTTCTTTCTGAAGCTGAAGCAACAAATCCTAAAAAGAAAAGAAGAAGGAAAAAAAAAAAAAGCAGCTGGGCTGTCTTTCCCAACCCGTGATCTAACAGACAGTTGATCTGTCAGCGTCCAGAATCTTCCTCCTTGCCACGCTGTAGAAGTTTTTGCTGCTTTCGAGGTTCAAATTTAGCTTCAGGTTTTATTTTATTTTATTCTTTTTGGAGGATGTCGACGAGGGAAGGAGCCGACAGAGTTCAGTGTTATCGTGGAAGCGTGTCATTACAGCAGATTGGCGGCAGATAAACATAAAAATGGTGAAAGGGTGCCACAATTGCATTTCTTTGTTCTCTTTCTTTTTCTTTTTTTATCCGCATGTTTTGATTTGAACCCAGCACTTCTGTTGGTTCTGTCTTACTGTAAAGCTTCTCTATGCCTTTTTTTTTTTGTTAGGTTTTGTGTATTTTCTGGCAGACTATGCTGTACTGATTGAAGCTGCTGGATTTTTTTTTTTTTGGCAAGCAAACTTCAACACGCTTCACTTCTTCATGTGACGAGGGAGGAAACATATGCACCCCACCCCCCGGGATCAGTAGCACCTCTCATTTCTTATTAAATGCTTGATAAAGTGACCTTGGCCAACAATGTCTGTATGTCCGTATTGCTGAAATCACGTGTCCGTATATCTGCTCTGGAAAGCTGGTAGACCTCCCGATGCCTTTCCTCAGCTCTTTGTGTATTTATTCCTGCTTAACGTTGAAGTTTGCATGTCTGAAATCTGCTTTCTTTTTTTTTGAGGGGGGGTCGTTTTGTTTGTTTTCGGTTTTTTGTACAGATGTTTGCTGGTGAGGGCTCCGAAAGATCCCCGCCAGACCAGTCGGACCTCATCTACTTTCACATTCCACAGGGAAAGAAGGCGGTCCACTTTGAAGGCAACAGTGATTGTGATTGATCATTAAAAGAAAAAAAAAGGCATTTTGTGAGAAAGAATGAAAGTTTGTGTGTGTGTGTCTTTTTTTTTTTTATTATTCATATTTTTTATATGCTCATAATGCCAACTGATTAAAGAGTTCCTCTAAAGGCCTCGCATCCACTCTAAGGCCAGTATTGTTGTACTGTCTCCACTGGGATTCATCTCTTCTGCTCATTATTTCATGTATTTTTTACATTTTATTTCTCCAATCAGATGCAATTTGGTTTTTTTGCCGTCAGGAGCTTTGTCTTTCTCTCTGATGGATTTACAACTTATATGTTTCGTCCGGGAGTCTTGGTTGATAGATGTCTTTGCACTGTCATGCTTTTAGCTTTGTTTTGCACCTCATGAGGAAGTAAGAGTGGGCTGTAGAGGAAATGTGCACTTAAAAGAACGAGAAGCCTACAGACTGGTGACAAATTAGAGGAGAAGGTTAAAAGCGTCTCAGTGACGTGCCTCCAAAACACGATGATGTCATCTAACACGTTTGAGACTGTAGCACTTGATTCTTAATGATGTCATCCTCATAAATCCATTCAGTGACATCCCACCTGTTTCCTTTCAAGGTCGGGGAAGGGCATTATCATCCTGTAAGAGACCACTTCCATCAACCATGCCAGCAAAATTGCCCCCTGAGGGCATATATGGGGTTAAAGGGTTCAGTCTTTTCCTTTAATTTGTCACCAACCTAAATTTGGTTGAAGAGTTACATTTCAAAGAAAAGCCTGACTTAAGTCTAAGTCAGGGTTTTGATTGGGGTGGACTGATATATCAGTTTAGATTGCACTGACTGATATTTAGATATTCTGAAAGATAAAAGGTGGGGTTAATCTGTGCATTTCTAATTTCAATCCCATGTCTCAGTCGGCATGAATGAATTAAAATTTGAAATGAAACTCTTCAGCCACACACGATTGAATGCATCGCAATGAATGCCATGACCACTTTGTTTTCTTTTGCCACTCAAGTCTTACGATTGTTTGGCCTTGTCACTGTGACCAAAAACAGCAGCCCGAAGTGCAGTTTCGCCACACAGGTCCACAGGGACTTCATCTTTGTCCACCTGCAAAATCTCTCCAACCCCCTGCTGGTGTACACCGATTTGAACTTTGGATGTTTACTTCATGTGCTCAATGTGACTGCTCAGCAATGCTTCTGTTTCAGAAGACTGAATGTAATTTTTTTTTCAATAAATTTTCTGTGGTATGATTATCAGCTTACCAGAAAACATCACATTGAACAGTGAACCCTGTTATTGTTTCTCCAAACTTTAGCATGGCTGGATTTGACCTTCAATACATTTCTCTGAAAAGGTCTCAAACTGGCAAAAAGTTAGTAATAATGAACACATTTCCATCTATTGCAGTATACATTTTACTTGGTCTGGTTCAAAATAGCTGGACTTTCTTTGTGTTATGTGGCTTGACAAAGCCTCAATTCCCAGTCAAGGGAATTCTTTCACAACAGCAGTTATCAGCTTCCTTTATTAGTCCAAGCTTTCTGCTTCAGCCTGTGTGTGCACTCAGGTACAAGGAGGCATTGGACACACTTTGGCTTTCATTCTGCACAAAATCAATCAATTGAGCATATCCTACTGATATTTTAGATATGAAAAGAGAGAAACCTTACAAAAAGACCCAGAAGTCTTTCCTGGTGCTGCTTAGTCAAGAAAGCCTTTCTGCAAAAAATCATTTAAACATTAAAGGGTACTCGGCCTGATGAAGTAATAGAAGAGGAAATCAGTCTTTTCCATCACCAACCAAATCTGTGCAAATTCCTGCTAGAAGAAAATGCACAGTTTGTGCTGCTGTAACTTGAAAGCAGGGCTTCATTCAGTGGTAGTGGTAATATGGCGCTCACAAGATTGAAGGTATAAAATATATGAACTTGGAATACAGATCACCTTTAAATTTAGTTTACCAGATATAGTTTAAGCCTAGTTCAAGACCAAAAAGACAAATTTAGCCCATTGAACCTCCATGCCAGGGAAATCAAGCCTAAAAGTGAATCAGTAAATTCTGAAACCAAAACCCGTGAGGTTGGCTGCTCTGGATTGGGTTATGTGTCTGGCTTTTGTTACTAAAAGAAAGCCACCTCTGAAAACACTAAAAACTACGCTGGATTATACCTTGCTAACCCAATAATCTCTCCAATATCTTCCAATCCTACAATACACTCAACAATACCCTGTCACTTGTAGCTGTGCAAACACAATCTGCAGAAACTCGACTACGGTGCGTCTCGTGATCAAAGACACAACAGATAATCAAGGACCACCTCAGAAAAAGCGAGGACCACTGATTGAAACTTGTTGTTCACTGTGGTGTTTACAGAGTGCTCTATCATATCATGAGAGGAAATGAATGAAAACTGCTTGAAACACAAAAATCTTGGGTATGTAAACGAAAACACCAAAAAATGTTAAGTATGCTTGATTTGTAGTCATGGATATAAATCCTCCAAACACACTGATTAAAGGAGACCCATAATGCTCATTTCCATATTCTTATTCGTGGACCCTACCAGAATAGCTGTGCATGATAGAGAGGTTAAAGTAATTCTTAGTCTGAAATAAGCTGATTTAACTGCAGCTTACTTCTGATTGGCTGCCCCTCACAAGCAACCACAGGTGGGAGGGGCCTCTGTGCTTGAGATGACCATATTAGTGATATCCATGCTTTCTGATATCAAATAGAACCAAGAGTAGAAAAAACTGCCAGAAACTGAATGTTTTAAACATAAACTTTTGTCTCTCAGAGTTTATGACCATAAAAGCATTGCGGGTCCCCTTTAACTGAGCCCTGCTTGGACCTCCTTTGGAATTGTGGCTAATGGTCACATGACATACCTGTGGATCCATCAACCTGTGGTAACTGCTGCCTCTGTTGACCAAAACCCACTCTGCGGTACTCTTTTTGCTCTCTCTGTGAACTGAAGGACCAAACTGTGGGCAAACTTCACTGATCTCGTCTTAAATGGCACCAGCAAGAACTTTTCTGATGGCCAGAGACGCAGCACTCAACTTTAGCGCTTCTGAAGTGTACACACCGACTCTTGCCGCAGTGTCCCAACCCCGTCTTTGTCTATGCCCGATGCAAAATGAGCAGTTTGTGTTGGTCACTCTGTAGCAACACTGTGGTAGAAAGCTTGCTCATCTTTTACTTTCCACCCTCCTCTCGTCTGTAAATCTACATCGCAGCAGATGTGCTTACTGTAAAGTTATTGTCAATGATTTGGGCAAGTGAAAAAAAAAAGTGATGTCATACTTGTACAAATGAAAGCTCAATAAATAGAAGACTTGAAGAAATACGAGTGCTCTAGCCTTTCTTGTCTATGAATTAAACTATGCGCCAAGTATGACTTCTATGCATATAGTTAAGGCAAAGAGTCTGGGTTACTTTATTATTTGGGAATGTCTGATGGGGAAAAATAAGCTTAAATCCCTTAAAAAAACAAAACCTGTCAGAAATCTCAGTTCTGATAAGTCTAAAGTGGTGGATGACCCACATGGGAACAAACATTTTATACACAACAAAACAAGGATATTAATCTAGAACACAAATAGGAAAAAAAACCCTCAGTGGGTAGAAGCAGCCCTTTTGGAGCCATGCAAACAGAATAAATGTGACAAAAGGTGCACTAAAGAGGCGACAGCATCCCCCAAAAGAAGAGGAATGTTTGGTGAACTGAGTAGAAACCATCGCGCTCTCCTCAACTTGCACAGGTAGTCTTCCTCCCCTCACCCCAACTGGTCATGGCAGAGTGTTGAGGAGATCCCAGGAGTCACCACGCTACCTGACATTGGCATTCACCAACAATATGCTTTTCCAAAATACCCATTGACCCACTGCCAAACCCATCACGTGTCATACAGTGTGACGTCTCACTCAACAAGCAAAACAAACAAATTGGAGTTTTAACACAAAAAAATGTTAGGAAATACATTTATTGAATCCAGAAACTTACAACAAAGGCTTAAATATATTACAAATTAGTCCAAAGTGGGGAATAAACTGCCTCAGAAGCCACAGTCAGGTGAGGTCAGGTGCACGGGTTTGCTCCTCGCCTTCAGTGCTCCGTCCTCCGAGGCTCCGTGGCTTTACTGAGGTTTCCTGCCTCCTGCTTTAGGACGCTCAGGAGAGACTGGGAGCTCTCCAATATCTGCAGGAGTTAAAACAAAAACAAAACAACATGAACTAACTTGTGCAGAAACTCAGAGGAAGTGGGGAGTGCACTTTAGAAGCAATTAAAGAAGGGGTCCAGGCTTGGCCAATTTGTTGTTTTTTAATCAGAGCAGCTCAGGAGTGTTTGTTTACAGTGATTAAGTGAGAGCACAACGGGAGTTCAGCGTCAGCAGGTGGGATCTTACTGACATCCAGTACAGCAGCCAAAAGCTTCTGTGGCCATACCCAACTTTTAATTAGTTCTTAAATCAACACTTGAGACTGAGAGGTTTTCTGGTTGATGCAGACCGTCCAACAAACAGCTATTGTTTTAGCATCTTATAACCACTGATCCATTTCTCATGCACTAATAAAGGTATCCCACCCCCGCCTCTCCTTCTTACGAACGTCTGCAGCTGGTATTACCCAGCAAACTTGGGTGAGAAGCAGTTGTGGTATGAGGCTGTTGTGCCAAAAATTACTTGCTATTTTGAGTTAGAAAGAACATTTCTGTCACAAGATAGAAGCAGCCATGGTGTGACTACATAAGATCCTTTATATTACAAAGACCCTACAATCAGATTACCTACTATCAGCAAGCACTTGGTAACAGTGGGAAGGAAAAACTCCTATTTAACAGGAAGAAACCTCCGTATAATGCAGAATAATATATAATACAGAACATCAATCAACATGGAAATTCTTGCTGGGTTTGCTGTTATGCAGAGCTCCGTTTGTTCTCCGTTCACCATGCACCTGTTATGTGGTATTGATTAACTTTGCAGAAGAGCCACATGAATTTCAATCTTTTTAAATTTTGCCTTTATAAATACCTGTGTAAACAAAAAGTCAGCATATGAAAACCACTGCAGGCTCAGTCATTGACGCACCTTGGTGTATGCAGCCTCCGTCTCGGCGATGGTGCGGTCGAAGGTGGAGCGTGCGGCGAGTCTCTGCGTCAGGCTCTCGTTGACTCGGCTCAGCTTCTCCGAGAGGACACGGATGTCGTGCTGCAGCCGCTCCTTTTCCTCTTCCTCCTGCTTGATCTGTCGGTTCAGCTCATCCCGCTTCGAGCAAAGCTCCTCGATACCTGATCGGGAGGGAAAGGTGGGATTAAACTAGAGCCTCAGTAGATCTCCTCGGGACTCAGACAGATGATTTCTGCCATAATTACGCAGCCCAAACACAGACATGGATACAGTAAACAGAGAACAATGGAAACCTTCACAGTGATCTGAAATTAAACACACTTATTAGGTCAACAACAGTAAAATACTGGTCTTAATTTTCATTTGAGTGAGTGAAATGGCTTAGCCACTTGCGGGTTAGTCGCTATCAATACCAGGACTAAAAAAGTAGGATTAGTGCTTCCCTAATTCCAGCAGACCAGAAACAGATTAACCAACACCTGACAGGTGACAAGCTTCAGCTTCACCGGGCTTTTATCTTCCAATACTTTTGAGAGAAGAAGAAAAAGTGTCACACTGACATACAGTTAAACTGCTGCAAGCACCCAGAGCTGATACCTGTTAACACCATTCGCGCCAGTGTGGAGTGCAAAGGGTTAAAGGTGATCTGAGGAGGTTAATCAGATTATTAGGCGAGGTGCAGCATCACAGGTTAACCTCTCAAAAAAGGACTTTTTTCGGTTTTAGACAAAATTACAGGCAGCAAACTTTGCTTTAACACAAGGGTGTTAACATTGCAAGCTGAGGCCAGAACACCGGCTCCCCAAAGGATCCACTCCGGCCGCAGAATAGCTCATTAAAATAAACCCAATATGACAAGACAAAACATCTGAATAAAAATGCTACAAAACACACATAAGGAGGACACAATAAACTTTAACACAATAAGTAAATGCGAGTATTGTTCTCTGGTGACAGTGCAGGCTACAACATGCTTGGTCTACATATAGCGCAATAGAGTCATTTAATAGGCAAATATGCTTAATTTATATATTAACCAGTAAGTATACTATAATTTAAATTTAAGCCGCTAACACTGTTATGCTAATCAGTCTAATGTGTTATTGACAGTAAATAGGCTCACTCACATTTGACCAGCTCGTTGTTGTAGGTCTGCAGAGCTGCAGCTTGTTGGGTCATGTCGGATTTTAGGTCAACCTTCACCGGATTATATCTGAGGTACTCGGTCGGCTACCTCGTCATCTATCCCTAGGAGCTAAACAAGCCGGGGTAGACCAAATATTCAGCACTGTTTATTCAGCAAACCTCCTTGAAAAGCAAAGCCCGTACATGGCGGGTTTCCCAGACAACTCAAACCCAGGAGGAACTACCGGACACCCAACCAGAGACGATAACTTGGAAGAGAGTCTACTTCCTGTTAAAAACATTGTGTAGAAATGAACTGGAGTTTAGAAGGTTGCCAGAAGATGGCGCACACGACCAAGACCTCAGGGAATAGGAGTAATTATAACGAAACGGCTAAAGCAATCGTTTGCAAATGCTTCTACATAAACAGCCAAAATGTTATTTTAGTTTTGTTCTCCAAGGCAATAATAATGAATTCGGAATTATATAATATCGACTCGTTACCGGAACCATCTCATGAGCGCCCCCTATCAAACCAGAAGTCGATAGAGTGAGAGTTCTTATATTAAGAGATATCTGCCCTTCTTCTCCACTGTGTTTAACACCGATAATGTCCGGCTTGCGCCCTCTGGCGGATAACAAAACCTACTGTTAAATTAAGTTCCTGTTAAGAGTTACTGTTTACCATTTAACCACAAGTTTCCTCCATTTCCCATGCATATATTAGATGCAGTTCAACCGGACTAATGCCTAAAGACGGTTAGCTGTGCCTCATATTAGTTTTACTAGAGAGACATTCAGTACTAGAACAATCCAGAGTACACATCTGGAGAAAGTAAAAATACAGCCTCCAAGTAGATATACCTATGCTATCAATTTCAAAATACTGCATCACCTGAAGTGATCACACTGTGATCAACACAAGATTTTCATAAAACTTGACCTCTGACCTTGAGTAGATCTTTAGTAGATCTATGGTATCAATTTGCAGCTGCTATGTCGTCTAGTTCTCAAGTTATCGGATTCACGACGTTTGGGAGATTCCTCAGCGGCTGCTGCTGAGAGAGAAGCTATATTACTCAGCACATGGCAGACAGGAAGCAGTATGTGAGGGTGTCCAGTGCTCTGTCTGATTGGTGCAGTACAGGAAAAGAAAAAAAAATTCCTCCATAGCAATGTGTGAGACTGATAAAGTCAGAAAATTATTACTTAAAGTTATTGCTGCTAAAGGTCTACCTACCGGTCTGGAATTGGGGTGGATGACGCTGTCATGTACCTGTTGCAGCAATCCCTCTCTCACCTAGAGCAGGCGGGGAACGCTGTGAGGATCATGTTTTTTGACTTCTCCGGTGCTTTCAACACCAACCAGCCTACACTAGGGAAGCTGGAGGGAACCAGAGTGGGCAAACAGCTGACTGCATGGACCATTGACTACTTAACCAACATACCACAGAATGTGAGGCTTCATGACTGTTGTCCGACGTGGTAATCTGCAGCACGCTGGGCACCACAGGGCACAGTTCTCTCACCCTTCTTGTTCAGCCTGTATACTTCTGACTTCTGTTATGATTCAGACCATTGCCACCTACAAAAGTTCTCAGATGATATGGCCATCATCATATCATACCATCAGCGTATCAGACGGAAACGATCAGAAATACTGGAGGGTCATCAGTGACTTTGTTGGCTGGTGTGTCACCAATGCTCTCCAAATCAACGCTAGCAAGATCAAGGAGATGGTCATAGACTTCAGGAGGAAGTCACCCCCTACAACACTGGTGAACATCCAGGGCAAAGACATTGAGATAGTGGACTCATACACATACCCGGGTGTTAACGTCAACAATAAACTGGACTGGACTACAAATACAGACAGCCTGTATAAAAAGGGCCAGAGTCGACTCCACCTGCTGAGGAGAGTGAGGTCCTTCAGAGTCTGCAGGACTCTGTTAAGGAAATTTTATGACACTGTGGTAGTATCCACCTTTTTCTATGCAGTGGCCTGCTGGGGGAGTGGATGCACAAACAGGGACAGGAGGAGCAGGATTGGCAAACTGGTGCAGAGCTCTAGCTCCGTGCTGGGATGTCCTCTGGAGTCTGTGGAGGTGGTGGGCGGGAGGATGTTAGTAAAGCTGACATCCATCATGAACAACCCACATCACCCACTGCATGAGTCTGGGAGTGCGCTGAGCAGCTCCTTTAGTCAGAGACTGAAACACCGTCACTGCAGGAAGGAGCGCTTTCGCAGATCATTCATCCCAACAGCAGTTAGACTCTATAACTCCTCCTCATGATGTCATGAGTCACTTGGACATTGTGGTCATCCATTGGTCATCAACGGTTACCACCTCATGCATAATGCATCTTATGAACTTGTGCATGTATTTGTGTATGTATATGTATATGTATAAATGTACAGTCAAGTCCATAAATATTGGGAAATCGACACAATTCTAAGATTTTTGGCTCTATACACCATTACAATGGATTTCAAATGAAACAAACAAGATGTGCTTTAACTGCAGACTGTCAACTTTTTGAGGGTATTTACATCCAAATCAGGTGAACGGTGTAGGAATTACAACAGTTTGAATAAGTGCCTCCCATTTGTTAAGGGACCAAAAGTAATGGGACAACTGGCTTCTCAGCTGTTCCATGGCCAGGTGTGTGTTATTCCCTTATTATCCCAATTACAATGAGCAGATAAAAGGTCCAGAGCTCATTTCAAGTGAGCTATTTGCATTTGGAATCGGTTGCTGTCAACTGCCAAGATGAGATCCAAAGAGCTATCACTATCAGTGAAGTAAGCCATCATTAGGCTGAAAAAAGAAAACGCATCAGAGAGATAGCAAAAACATCAGGCGTGGCCAAAACAACTGTTTGGAACATTCTCAAAAAGAAGGGAATGCACCGTTGAGCTCAGCAACACCAAAAGACCCGGGAGACCACAGAAAACAACTGTGGTGGATGACCGAAGAATCCTTTCCCTGGTGAAGAAAACACCCTTCACAACAGTTGGCCTGATCAAGAACACTCTCCAAGAGGAAAGTGTATGTGTGTCAAAGTCAACAATCAAGAGAAGACTCCAGCAGTGTGAATACAGAGCGTTCACCACAAGATGTAAACCACTGGTGAGCCCCAAAACAGGAAGGCCAGATTAGAGTTTGACAAATGACATCTAAAAAAGCATGGTGGTGGAAGTGTCATGGCGTGGGCATGTATGGCTGCCAGTGGAGCTGGTTCTCTTGTATTTATTGATGATGTGACTGGTGACAAAAGCAGCATGATGAATTCTGAAGTGTTAGGGGCAATATTTTCTGCTCATATTCAGCCAAATGCTTCAGAACTCATTGGACGGCGCTCCACAGTGCTGATGGACAGTGACCCAAAGCATACAGCAAAAGCAAGCAAAGAGTTTTTGAAGGGTAAGAAGTGGACTGCTTTGCAATGGCCAAGTCAATCACCTGACCTGAATCCGATTGAGCATGCATTTCACTTGCTGAAGACAAAACTGAAGGGAAAATGCCCCAAGAACAAGCAGGAACTGAAGACGGTTGCAGTAGAGGCCTGGCAGAGCATCACTAGGGATGAAACCCAGTGTCTGGTGATGTCTATGTGTTCCAGACTTCAGGCTATAATTGACTGCAAAGAATTTGCAACCAAGTATTAAAAAGTGAAAGTTTGATTTACAGTTCTTATTCTGTCCCATTACTTTTGGTCCCTTAACAAGTGGGAGACACATATGCAAACTGCCAAATTCCTACACTGTTCACCTGATGTGGATGTAAATACCCTCAAATAAAAGCTGACAGTCTGCAGTTAAAGCACATCTTGTTCGTTTCATTTGAAATCCATTGTGGTGGTGTATAGAGCCAAAAATGTTAGAATTGTGTTGTTGTCCCAATATTTATGGACCTGACTGTATATTTAGTGTGTATGGATGTATGTGTATTTGTATTTCTTTGTATTTGTATTTTTATTTCTTGACTTTATATTCTTGGTCTTTATCTCTCTTATCTCTTTGCATTCATCTGCTATTGGTACCTGAGCTGTGGTAATGCAAATTTCCCCACCGTGGGATCAATAAAGTCTTATCTTTTTTTCTTTTTTTTTTTGAAGTTTTAAATTAGCTTTGCAACTTTTTGAATAAAATTTCTGACTTTGCTCTCATAAGTTTGAGAGCTTATCTTGTATTTTATCCTATTGACAGTTTTTCCTTATACATTTTTCCTTTTGTCCTTCTTTGCACCTTGTTTTGTCCTTCATAGCCTCTAAGAGTCAAATAAGATAACCTTTATTAGTCCCACACGTGGGAAAATACAGTGTTGTCAGAAAAAGAGAATTGCACTTAGTGTTATTGCACATGGGTGGATGTGCGTGTTTGGTCACCTGCAAAGTCTTTGTGGAGTCTGACAACAGTAGGAAGGAAAGTCCATGTTAGTACAGAAACCTTTCAAAAGCAGAATGTTTAATAAGCATGATTTGTACGTTTTATTCCAAGAAATCTGCAACTTTTTCCTTGTTTTCCCCAATTTTAGTAAATTTGCCATTTTTCCTAGTAAATGTGTGACTTTGTATTGTAATTTTTTCTTTGTTAATTCCATCCATCCAACTTATTCCGCTTTATCCAGGGCCGGGTCGCGGGGGCAGCAGCCTAAGCAGAGAAGCCCGGACCTCCCTCTCCCCAGCCACCTCCTCTAGCTTATCCGGGGGAACTCGGCCAGACAAGAGATATCTCTCCAGCGTGTCCTGGGTCTGCCCCCAGGGCCTTCGCCCTAATTTGTTCATTTATTTTCTAAATTTTTGTTCTAAATTTTGGTAACCTTTTCCATTTTTTCTTTGTAAATATTTAATTTAAAAATTTCGTTCTAAATTTGCAAAAAAAATGTTTTTGTTCTCCTCAGAAATTTGAGAGCTTTTTCTTGTACATTTCCAAATTTTGTTCTGGGAGATTTGCCATTTTTCCCCATAAATTGATCGACTTGCCCTTGTTTGCCCCTCATTTTGTCCTTCGGAGCCGTTGATACCCCGTCTTAGTAGAGAAGCTCTTCAAAAGCAGCCTTCAGGTGTGGCTTTTTTAACTAGTGCGCGCATCAATAAATGTGACGTAATTCCACGGTGGGCGGAGTTTACGTCCAGGCACCATGGCTTCGGTTGGGACCGAGGTGAGTGTGTGAGCTTTTTCTGCGCCAAGCTTGTTTTCCTGTTGCCCTGTTTTCCGCTCCACGGAAAATATGTTTCGTCCCGACGGGTGGACCAGCCCCCTGTG